ACCGGTGTCCACAAACCACTCCTTGGAATTGGATCCAATGAGGTTGACCTCGGTCACCACGACCGCAAGGATGATGTCTTCATCCTTTTTGCCCACCTTGCACCAAGTTCACGTGAGAATCTTTCTTCCTCTTTGGTGCCTTGCAATCCGCGGACTTGTGTCCGTTCTTGTTGCAATTGAAGCATTTTCCATTGAACTTCGTCTTGGAAATGCCTCCCTTGGGACCGAGTTTGCTCTTCCCATTATTTTTGGTTTTGGAGCCCTTTGCATGCTCCACCACGTTGGCCTTGGCGTCGTTAACGATTGTGAGTTTCCCATTGTTCTTCCGGTTATCCTCTTCAATCCGCAGACGGAGGATCAATTGCTCCAAGTTCATTTCCTTTCGCTTATGCTTAAGGCAGTTCTTGAAATCCTTCCAAGCCGGCGGCAATAAATGGATAATTGACGCCACTTGGAAAGACTCACTAACTGTCATTCCTTCATCTCGAATTTCGTTGAAGATCATTTGCATTTCCTCAACTTGACTCAAGACCGTCTTCGAATCCACCATTTTAAAATCAAGGAATCGACCAACAACAAATTTCTTTGCGCCGGCATCCTCGCTTTTATATTTGTGGTCCAAAGCATTCCATAGCTCCTTAGTCGTGGCTAATTTGCTATATACGTCGTACAAAGCATCAAGCAGCCCGTTCAACACATAGTTTCGGCACAGGAAGTCAGAATGCTTCCAAGCTTCAACCGCGTTGAAAGATTGCGCATCCACCTCACCCCCGGTTGCTACCGGCGCATCCTCGGTCAAGAACCTCGCAAGACCGAGAGTAGTGAGATAGAAGAGCATCTTTTGCTGCCACCTCTTTAAGTTTAACCCATTGAATTTCTCGGGTTTCTCCACAGAGTTGCTTGGCACGGTCACCATAGGGATAGCCCTTTGGTTGGCCAAAGCAGATGCACCGCGTTGTGAATCATTGTTCACCGGTGCTCCGCTTTCAGAGAGATTTTCGTTCAGAACATTCTGCCCAACACCAATCTTGTTTTCTTGAGAAGTCATTTTCGTTCTTTAACTTTTTCCGAAAACGCACAAAAAAATAAGTTCGTTCACCAAAGTGACAAACTACGATTTAGGATTGTTTACCACAGTAGAACAATCAACAAATACGTTTTAAGATTGTATCCGTATGATACAAGCTTAACAAAATACGTTTTAAGATTGTTTACCGGAGTAGAACAATCAACAAATACGTTTTAAGATTGTTGGGTGTGTTTCGGAAAATAAAGGAAATTAATTAAAATAAATTAATTAAATAAAATGACTAGAGAAAACAAGAAAGGAGATGAAGCAGAATTAGTCAAAGCTCGTGCTACGCACGATGTCCTTAAAACGTATTTGTTGCCTCCCACGGTGCTAGGAGCGTTGCAACAATCGTTTCCCAGGATACGATGACTACGAACTAATGTTTCAGCACACAAACAAGAGTTCCAGCGAACGAGAACCAAGTATGAACACAGAAGGAATTTGCAGAGTAGTTGTAGGTGTTTTTAGCTTAAGAAATTCGTGAGGAATGTATTGTGCGTTGTCAAACTGTGTGTTTGCACACGAGTCGCGGTTTTTCTTCTCCCTTTCGAGATTTGATCGGCACCCCCCCCCTCCTGCGCGTAAGAGAGAGCCTTTACCCTTAGGAATCTTAACTCCATAAAAGAGGCTTCCCTTTATAAGGGGGTGAAAATCCCTTGAGTTTTTCGGTGTGGGATAAAACACACTAGAAACCCATCATTTTCCCAGTTTTTCCATTTCAACGAGTGAACTTCGAGAATCAATTTCTCATTCACCCGTTATCCGTTTTGAGTGTACCATATATCGAATTGTAGCCCTTAACAAGGACAATCCGAAACCACTTTAACCCGACCCAAATCGGAAGTGAACCCCACTCAAATAATTGCCCCAAAATCATCATTTAATGCAATTTTTAACACATTTTTCCAACAGAAAAAACCTAGACCTGGAGTAAACCTAGACAAAGACCAATCGAATCAAATGTCACTGATCCAAAGGAGCAACACTCGACGGAGACCATATATTGATGACCGACGCGGTGGATGAAAACGATGAGTACAGAGAGAAGAAGACAGAACATCAGACATGGAGCTCTGGTATTTCGAAGAGAGCTTTTGGTACGAAAGAGAAAAGGCTTGAATGGTTGGCAAGAGAAAATGTACGTCCTCGGGGGCTGGGAGAGTAATTGTGGTAGATTAATTTAAGATCTAAAGATCAAAGGTCAGGGCTGGAGAGTAATATCAGTTCGTATATAGTGCATCCGGGGTACGTACACCCGGCCCAAGTAAAAAAGACGACCCAACCACTAATACAGGCCGTCGGAGGTGGCAGAGGAGGAAGAGATGGAAGAGCTGGACGAGGTCAAAGGGCTGTAGGAGCTGGAACAAGTGAACCTTCCGGGGCTTCAAGGACTGGAAGAGGAAGGGGTGGAAGAGCTGGAAGGGGAAGGGGGGGGGGTAGGAACTGAATTCAGTAGGGGGTGTATAACAAATGTAATGCATATTTATGTTAGCTTGGTCTTTATGGTTTTTGGTGGTTAAAGTAAAGGTACTGCAGTTTGGTGGATGCTGATTTTGGGGCTTTATGTTAGGTGGTTAAAGTAATGGTCTTTATGTGTTTTGACTATGTAATGGTTGTTTGGTGAACCTACTTATGTATTCGGATGTGTACTGCTGGGTTTACTACTTTAATGGTTCACTTTTATGACATATGCATTTTTCTTCTTTGTAAAGGTGTGGTCTTGCATAAAGTGATAGGTTGTGTAGGTGTGGGGTCTTGGATATGCATTATTGGTTTGTGGTGGGGTGTGGGTTATAGTCTAGCTTTATTCGTTCCTGCAACTTTAAGGGTGGGGTGATCTTTGGTTTTTAAAAGCAGCCAAGTACTTCTTCAGATTGTACTTGCTTGTTGTACACTTGCTTCTTCAGATTATGGCTCCTTTCTATTCAAGGGCTTTGCCTTTTATCACATGGGTGATGGCACTGATGGGTATGCTTTACAGGCAGATGGTTTTATCACTTTTTGGTGGAAAAGGGTAAATGTGATGGGTATTTCATGGGCTGTCCGGATTAGGAGTATCTGTTTTTATGGGTATTTTTTGGCTTATTCTGTGTAAATCATAATGATAGTGTTTGACAGATGTGATCAAATGGTTGTTTCTCATTTAAATTGTCATTAAAAGTTCTGTGAATCACAACAAATATTTACAGAAGTCACAAGACAAGTAACAAAGCTTCATTCTTTTACTACATTGTTAAAGTGGTCCAAGTACATTGAAAACTACAAAACCCACTAATCTATTACAATTTCTTAAGAATAAGAGCTGCAACAACAAACATCACAACCCCTTGACACATTCTCTTCCAAAAGAACTTCTCTTTAGCTTCACTTTCAAGAATCAGTTTGATGGTTTGTATGTCACGTTGCATAACTAACATCATACTTTTGAGGTCATGATTTGAGCGTTCTTTTGAACCAGGGGCCCCCATGTATGCTTCTTTCTCTTCATGCAAACCTGCTAAATCCTCTTTCCATACAAAATATCCGCAGCCTAAACCGTCCTACAATCACACAAACCAATTTGTGTATTATACAAGAAACGAAGAACAAAAACTATAAACCAATTTTTAAAAAATTGCTTTTTGTGAGGTTAAACCAATTCCTCTTTCCAATATATGTTGCTTCAACAAAGAACATAAAGACTACCAGAACCCCCCATAAAAGCCCTACTTCATTTGTATTACCAAATCAAATTCACAAATACATACCTTCCATCTTTGACATCCATAAAACTGTCGGCCACTTTCCTGGGTTGTACACAAACGAGCTTTGACACCACACAGACAGTTCGGGTCATACGCACTCAGTTTCCTTCCCAGCGAAGAAGAAGATGAAGCCACCATGGCTTTCTACCTCGGATGCCTTCTACCTTTTACGCTTCCTCCTCCAGCTTTTAATGGATGAATATGGTTAGATGGAGTATTTAATGAGTCAGCATTCAATGAGATGTAGGTTTAAGGGGAGTTGGGCCAAAACTTACTGACTGGGCATTTAAGGGGAGAAAACGGGAGGTTACCGGGTAAATATAGGGATTGAACAAAAAATGGAGGTTGGTGGACCGGATCGGAGGTTATTTGGGTTCGGGGTGCGAATTGAGCAATTTGTATACGTTCAGGGGCCTATTTGACCCTTTAGCCTTAACATTATAATACAAAGGGAGTTGAAGGTGTTAAATAGTTTGAATTTCCCGGTGTGATGTATTTGGAATGATTTCCTTAGGTCGCCTCATCCGGTGACCGGTGGTGGAGTGATCCAAACTATATGATGATGACATCAATGCTAAGAGATTTTTGATAGATGTATGATCCATTTGAATTGTTCTTTTTTCTGATTGTGTTGATTTTGTTCTATGACGGATCTTTTTCAGGCACTAATGCTAAGCTACGAGGTGGTTTGTCTCTCTGGATCTGGGGAGCACTTTTGGTGTGCCGACTAGCTTCGTATTGTCAGGGGGTTCTATCCGACTTCTTTTAGAGTGCGTAGACATTGGTAAAGCTGAGTCCAGAACCACCTAGTAGTACTTGTTTTTATTTTAATTTGAGTAGGTTTAGTTTGAAAATTTGGACTATTGGAGTATATTTCATAGCATTATTTCAGCCTCGATTGTTTTGAACTTTAAATTGTCGTTTCGCCTCTAGTTAATCATGTTGCTTTGTATGACGTGACTGGTTTGAAGTCTATTTAAAAAAACATTATAATACATTATAATACAAAGATCCACTTTGGTATCTCATTTTACATTTTATTAATTTTGAGTAATTAACATTTATACTCCATATTTAAAAAGTTTGACTCAAATCGGGAGACAGAATTTATGTTCATGTAAATTATGTAATCATGTTTTTATCCTATAATTCCTATCTAAATCAATTTCGTGTTTGCATCCCAGAATCCCAGCCTATCCGCCGCTGCCCGGCGTTTCACGAGCCTCCCCGCTCCAACGCAGGCTAAATGAACTGGAGACTCGCATCTTCAATTTCACATTTTCCTGGTTACTTCAATTTCAGAACATACTTACCTACCTCACGAAACATTTGGAAAACACTTCCGGTCCAACGACCATGGGAAATGTTGAAGTTAAGGTATAATACATTAATACTCCGTCTTGGTGCGAAGTGATTACCAGCATTGACCTAATTTTAGAACATAAACTTCTTATGTACAGAATTTCATTCCACTATATCTTTCCGTCTTTGGATTTGCAGCTCCCAAACGCAATGGATTGGAAGCTCAAACCGCTCATTACACAGTTATTCGAAGGAAAAGGAAGACGACAGCTTTACGGAATTGGGCCCTGCCGTGAACGAAACAGGTGTTTCAGAACTGAAATTGTCAACAGAGAAGCCCGAGCGGTTTAGGGTAATTGAGAAATATTTCCTATCGGTTTATGCTCCCTAAATATTAATTTAATTTGTATGTAAGAGCTATTTTTGTACAATTCAATGAGTTTATGCCAAGCTGGTTGACGGGAATAGTCCTCTTAGGTTGGTGCCTGAGGGCAACCCCAACACTTGGCTAGTAGGCTTCCTCCAAAACCCTCCATCCAAACACACCCTTTAGAGTCTAGGGTTTTTATGTTGGTTCAACCTTGTTAATATCCAGTGTTGTGGATGACCTATGTGTATATATGGTTGGAGAAAGTAATGGAAGCTAAAATGTGACAGTGGCAGAATGGTTCTGTAAGGAAAAGCTTAGCCAACAAGGGTCATCCAGTGAACAAGCGTGTGGGCGAAAAGGAAACACTCTCAACTCATGATGTATCAGATCACATCATGGCTCAACTCCTGGATGCTTTTGGTGCAAAGAGGCCAGCTGATAAAGTCAACCATGTCGGTCAGCTTATATCAACAATTAGAATCAACGGGATTAACAAATGTGCATCCAACAATGAAATACATTCGCTCTGTAGAAAGGTTGGCAATTTAGAAAGGTTGACATGGGTAGGCAAGGCAGCTGTGGATGCATACTTTAAAGTGGGGAGTGAATCAGAGTCAATAGAAATCGTAACGAAGTAAGTACATAACTTCTCTTTTAGTACACTAGCTGTTGCCTGTTGGTATCTCAAAACATTTCATTTATTTATTTATGTATTCTTTTTTCAGCTATAGGATTGATTGTATCATACTAGTTTGTACTTATTAAAAATGTACCTGAAACTTTTTTGAGCATTTGGGCATCTTTGGATTTCCGAAAGTGCTAGGCAAAGGGAAATTGACCCTGGGTCTGTTTGAGTGCCGAAAATGCTGGGTGAAATTGTGAAAACATGGAACAAAAACATAGAAAACAATTAAAATGAAAGTGGGATAAAATCAAATATGTAGTATATAATAAAATCCAATAATTTTACTACATATATTTGTTGAAGTTAATTTTATTTATGCTTATTTTATAAAGCCTATAAAATCTGAATGTATGCAAAAATTAAACAATACAGTATTCAACAATTTGTTACATTTCACTGGGTAAAACCATAAATGAGAAATTAACGTCCCTAAATCCCACCCTTTTTCCAGCATTTTTTTATTATCTAAACATGCCCTTAACTTAAATACTCTTTTGGTGTTTGGTTTTACACTTAAAAAAGACGATGAAAGAATACATTAAAACTCTTTGAGTTTATATTTATGTTTATACTTCTATCTCTTTAATAAAAAAGAATATATAATTAATTAAATGACTATGAACAATTTTTATATCTCCCTGTACTTTATTTACTTCAAAAGATTCACCCTGTTTTCTTCCCATAACATTTTGGGAGGTTCCAAATGTACCCTTGAATAAGAGGAAAGGGGTAATTGTGAGGGAATGGTTGTAGTAATTCATCAGTCTCTTGATCTTTTTAGGTTAAATGGTTATACCATTGGTGGCAGCCACTTAGCAGCATCTATCCCTTCAGGCAACTCTACAAAACCGATTCCAAGAAAAAGAGATAAAAGAAGTCTATAGTTCGGCACTAGTGCACTACCCTCGATAATAGCTCAAAAGGCGATTGGAGTTGAAGAAGGCATACTGCGATGATTTAGAGTTGCTGCATAATAGTATATTGCACTGATTCAATGTTCTCCTAGTTGAGTGTTTAATTGATATATGGATACATCATGGAAAGTACCCTTCTAATTAGTCATCCTCTTCGTCCTGCACATTCACATGGCAAAGTTGTTGCTGTTTATATATTTTCTTTAAGCATAGCTGGGTAGTTTATTAAGACCAGCTCAGGTTAATGTGACTCGTAGAACTTTTTATTGTAATGAATGAACTAAGTTTATCAAGATGTGTTAAGTCTCACGACAGACATGGTATGGTGACATGTGACCACACTATTGTAAAACTTGAGATACATGCAACACTTTTGAATTAATTAAAATTTTACACAATACTTAGTCAAAATACTGAGTACATAATATTTTTAAATTAATATAATAATCATTTAATCCTAGTTATACAAAACTATGTTTGGAAGATATAAAATGATATGCGGTATCTAACAAAAGCACTCTCATTGCTAAAGAATTATGTAAGCCCTTTGAGTGAATATTCGTAAATCATACTACTAAATACTAATTGTTAAAAAAAATCAATAATAACATGAAATATATTTGAACAATCTTTGGTTGTAGAAAAATAATTGTATAATTGAATTTGACAATATGGTCAGAGCATCAGCTACTTGGCAAACCGCAGAACGGCAGAAGGGTGCAACTAAATGAGCGCTACCAAAACCAATCTGGTTTCTGTTATCCAAAAAAATAAGCACATGACCACCAAATATTAATTTTGGATTTTCTATGAGTTGAGAAACATTGAACCTATGATAGAACACTGATATTATTGATTCAGAACTCACACACACAATCGAAGAACACACAGATCACACTGTATTCAACCCAACAAAGATATACAAGATGTAGACAATTCGAGATGCCCAATCTCCTAGCCCAGTTCTAGCCAAAATGACAGATGCCTCTAGCTAGCTTATTCAACTTCTATTTATAGTAACAGTCCACGCAGGGACCTTACTAACTAACTAACAGACTAGTTAGTTAATCATTATTATTAACTGCCCTATTCTTCCTCCTTTTATATACTTTCTTGTAAAACTGGACCGCATGCTTTACTCCTTGTCTATCAATACTCCCTCCCTAGAAATTCACCTTGTCCTCAAGGTGAAGCTCTGGAAATTGTTCCTTGAGTGCTAACAAAGGTTCCCAGGAGTCTTCAAAGCTTGGTAGATTGCTCCAATGCACCAACACTTCCACATTCCCCTCCTTGTCAACCCTTGTATCCAAAATATCTTCTGGCACTACCTGTAGTTCCAATTCCTCACTGAGGCAATTGGGTAGAGGTTGGTAAAAAGTAGTAGGAGATATAGCCTTTTTAGCAATGATATATGGAAAAGTGGATGGATTTTACTGTCATCTGGTAGTTTCAGCTTAAAAGCTACTGAACTCAGTTTGTCAATTATCTCAAAAGGGCCATAATATCTGGGGCTGAGCTTTTGATTTATCCTTTTAGCTAAACTTCTTAGTTTGTAAGGTTGTATCTTCAAATAAACCTTCTCTCCCACCTCCAACTGAACTTCTCTTTTGTGCTTATTGGCCTGTTGTCTCATCTGATTCTGGGCCTTAGCCAAATTCTCTTTTAACTCATCCAAAATTATGTTTCTCTGGGCAGTCAACTTGGAAACTTCTTCTACAGCAGCTAGAGTTACATCCCCTCTAATTACTGCAGGTGGATCTTGTCCAAATAGAGCTTTGTAAGGAGTAATTTTCAGAGCAGCATGATAATTGGTATTATACCAATACTCAGCCCAATGTAGCCATTGAACCCATTTCTTAGGTTTTCTTCCCGTCAGACAGCGTAGATAGGTTTCAAGGCATCTGTTAACCACCTCAGTTTGGCCATCAATCTGAGGATGGTAAGCAGTACTGTATTTCAACTGAGTCCCAACCAACTTAAAAAGTTCTGACCAGAATGCACTTAGGAATACACTGTCTCTGTCACTAACTATGGTCTTAGGAAAACCATGCAGTCTGACAACCTCCTTGATGAATACATCTGCCACCTCCTTAGGATTGAAGGGATGTGATAGAGCCACAAAATGAACATACTTGGTCAGTCTGTCCACAATGACCAAAATAGTATCTTTCCCTTTCGACTTAGGCAATCCACCAATAAAATCCATACTTATGTCAGTCCAAATGCTATTAGGAATTGGTAAGGGTTGTAACAACCCCGCTGGTTTGAGAGCCTGATACTTATTTGTCTGACAAATCTCACATTCTTCCACAAATTTCTTAATATCTTTTCTCATTCCCTGCCAGAAGAAAAGATTAGAAATCCTTTTCATGGTTCTAAAATACCCAGAATGTCCTCCAACTACAGATTCATGATACTCCTTCAGTAATTTGGTTATTCTGGGGGATCCTTGTGGTAAGACCAGCCTGTTGTTGTAGTAAAGTAATCCTTTCCTCATCTGAAATTCAGTGTGCAGGTCTGGATGTAAAATCACCTTCTGAATCCACTCTATACACTTAGGATCTGATTCTAATTCTTCCGTCAAGCCTTCCCATTCCTAGCATGTCACAATGGATAGTGATTGGAGTATAGGTCTCCTGGAAAAAGCATCAGCACCTCTGTTTTCAATTCCAGGTCTATATCTGATAGTGAAATTATACCCCAATAATTTTGAAGTCCATTTTTGCTACTCTTCTCCCATTAACCTTTGCTCAGTTATAAATTTTAAACTTTTCTGATCAGTCAGAATCTCAAATGATCCACCTAACAAATAGGGTCTCCATTTCTGCACTGCCAGAACAATGGCTAGAAGCTCTCTCTCATACACAAATCTTTTTTGGTTCCTCTTTGATAAAACTTTGCTCATAAAGGCTATTGGCTTCCCTTCTTGCATTAGAACTGCTCCCAACCCAATTCCGGAAGCATCAGTTTCCAAAGTAAATGTTTTATTGAAATTAGGTGTTGCCAGTACTGGTAAAGAAGTCATGGTCTTCTTTAATTCTTCAAAAGCTTGTAAAGCCTTTTCATCCCATTGAAAACAATCCTTCTTTAGAAGTTGTGTAAGGGGCAAGGCAATCTTACTGTACCCCTTAACAAACCTCCTATAATAACCTGTCAGCCCTAAGAAACCTCTCAACTCCTTCAGATTCTTAGGTGTTGGCTAGGTAACCATTGCTTCAATCTTGGTAGGATCAACTCTTATTTCTTCACCAGAGATTATGTGGCCTAAGTAAATCAGTTGAAGCTGTTCAAAGGAACATTTCTTTAGGTTAATCACCAGCTGATTATCCCTTAAAGCAGATAAAACTGCTCTTAAATGTTCTTTGTGCTCTTCTATAGATCTACTATAAACCAAGATGTCATCAAAAATTACCAATGCACACTTCCTCAAATATGGCCTTAAAACCTGATTCATGAGAGCTTGGAATGTGGAAGGTGCATTTGTCAAGCCAAAGCGCATCACCAAATATTCATAATGTCCTTCATGAGTTCTGAAAGTTGTCTTCTTCCTGTCCTCCTCCTTCATTCGAATCTGGTGGTATCCAGATTTCAAATCCAGTTTAGAAAAATATTTGGCTTCCCCAAGCTCATCAAGTAGTTCCTCTATGACAGGAATAGGATATTTATCTGGAACTGTAATCTTGTTTAGGGTTCTGTAATCTCCACATAACCTCCACCCACCATCTTTCTTTTTGGCTAGAAGTATTGGGCTGCTGTATGGACTAGTGCTGTTTTGAATTATCCCAGAATCTAACATTTCCTTCACAATCCTTTCAATTTCAGTCTTCTGATAGTGGGGATATCTGTAAGGTCTAATATTAGGTATTTTAGTTCCTTCTTGAATGGTTATGGAATGATCACAACTTCTTATAGATGGTAGCCCTTCCAAAGGTTGATACACTTCAGGGAATTCTGCCAAAATCTGCTCCCACATAGGTTCCATCTCTCCACAATTCTTCATGTTCAGTGTACTCCCTTCACAATAAACAAAATAACCATCTCCATTGTCTTATAAGATTTGTGACATAGTTTTCAAAGAAACTTCCATGGAGTTCAATTTTGGATCTCCCTGAATAGACAGACCTTGTCCTAACTGCTGCCACTTGATAGTTTGTTTCTGGAAGTTAATTTCAACATCCCCCAGGCTAGTCAGCCACTCCATACCTAATACAACATCTGTGCCTCCCAAACTAAGGATATAAAAATCCTGTTTAAGGTCTGTACCTTGCAATCTCAGCATCAACTTCTCACATCTTCCATTATTAACTACCTTTTCTCCATTACCAATTTGAACCTTGTAACTAGGTATGGTTTTAAAAGGTAATCCCAGTTGTTCTACCAGTCTTTGAGAGATGAAATTATGTGTGGCCCCACTGTCAATTAACACCTCTACCAACTGATCCCTTTTTTCTCCTTTTACAGTTCCCATCACCTTGAAAGCTCTCATGGTAGGTATCCCCTCCCTGCTCATGAGAGACAACTGCATTGATTTAGATTCCATTTCAACTGCCTCCTCAGGTTCTGTAACCATGGGACTGCCCTCATCTGGTATCTCTTCTCCATCTGAATCTTCAATAAGCATCAACTTGTAGTTCTTTAGCTTACAAGTATGCTCCTTACTCCACTTGTCCCCACATTTGAAGCATAATCCTTTTCTACTCCTTTCCTGGAACTCATCTTGAGACAACTGAGGTCCTACCCTTCTAATTCCAGAAGGTTGAGCTGCAGGAAACTTGTTTCCTCCCTTATCACTCCCAGAGTTGTTGTTCCTGTGTTCTGTAAACAACTTATTCTGAAATGACCAAGGACTGCCAGATTTTGCCTTAAAACCATTTCCCCAAGTCCGAGTTTTAACTGGTGCAGCACCCTTATCTTTCCCATTCAACTTGTCTTCCTCCTTCCTTTTCAAATAGAGTGCTTCATTCTTCTGTTCAATAAGCACAGCCTTATCAATAATCTCTGTCAAAGACCGATGCAAACAAATTCAACTCCGATTTGATTTCATCCTTCAACCCTGTCATGAAAACTCCTCGCAATAATTCCCTGTCCAGATTCAGATGCGAAGCCAACACCATTTCAAATTCCTCTCTGTAATCCTTCACATTTCCAGTTTGCTTCAAACTTAACAGTGGTCCATACGGAATTTGAATTAACTCTGGTTGAAACCTACGAATAACCGATTTCTTCAAAGCTTCCCAAGTTGTTTCTTCGGTTTGATTTTCCCACACATGGAACCAATTCAGAGCCCTATCCTCCATCGCAACCATGGAGGCTTCCACTTTTTCTCCTTCTTCAATATGATTTAAGCGAAAGTACCTCTCCATGCGTACAATCCAATTGTAGGCTCCCTCACCATTGAATAAAGGTGAGTCTACCCTTCGACCAGGAACTCTTCTATTTTCCTCACTTCGTCTAGCATTATGAATCTGAGAATGAACAGAGTTACCTCTAAAAGCGATCGGACTGTGCGAAGTCCTCGTGTGATGTTGTGAAGGTGTTCGCGATCGTCCTCTGCTCTGAAACTGTTCTGCCATGACATCTATTTTAGCTGTGAGAGCATCCAGCGCTGAATGCATCTCCTGCTGGTTTCGCTCCAACGACTCCACACGATGATCCATTTTGCCTCTCGTTTTAACCATCCACCTTCGAACGACGAACAATTTTCTGGATTTCCGACTACTCCGATCAAGTCCGTAATCACCAGGAGCGTAATGCTCTGATACCAATGATAGAACACTGATATTATTGATTCAGAACTCACACACACACAATCGAAGAACACACAGATCACACTGTATTCAACCCAACAAAGAATATACAAGCTGTAGAGAATTCGAGATGCCCAATCTCCTAGCCCAGTTCTATAATTGGACTCGGGCCGGGTCGGGCCTGGGCCGGCGGTTCTATATAGCTGGACCCGGGACCAGCCCGGGTAGCCACCGGGTCCGGTCCGGGCCGGGCCTCGGGTTTGGTTATTTTTTTTATTTGTTTTGCTTAGCTACCCATCCCTCACCCCCCCTCACCCCCACCCCCCCAAATCCCCCAAACCCCTCCTAAACATCAAGCCCAACCCGGTGGAGCCCAAACAAATAAAAAAACCAAAAAAATAAAAATGGCCCGAACCGGGCCTTGTTATGGGTGACCCAAGTCCGGACCGGAAACCCACCGGGTCGGGCCTACCCGGACCGGTCACTGACCGGGCCACCGGTTCGGGCCGGAACAGTACCGGTCCCGGGCTGATTTCGGGTTGGGCCACCCGGCCCGAGTCCAACCCTACCCAGTTCTAGCCAAAATGACAGATGCCTCAAGCTAGCTTATTCAACTTCTATTTATAGTAACAATCCACGCAGGGACCTTACTAACCAACTAACAGACTAGTTAGTTAATCATTATTATTATTAACTGCCCTATTCTTCCTCCTTTTATATACTTTCTTGTAAAACTGGACCGCATGCTTTACTCCTTGTCTATAAACCTAACCGAAACTGGATTTGGGCAAAGAATCATCAAGATTCAAGAGCCTGGAACTGGCCCTTGTCCATCAAAAGGTGCAACTAATGAGCACTTGAGAGTTGAGACTATGGTTGGATTCGGTTCGGGCCACCCGGCCCGTGACCCGGCCCGGCCCGGTACTGTGCGGGCCCGGGACCGGCCCGGTCGGGCGGTCCGGGACCGGGTATGGACCCGAACCGGTGGGAAGGGGCGGGGCGGGCTCGGTCCTGGATTATTGTGACCCGGCCCGGCCGGGCCCTGGTCCGAGTCTAATTTAAAAAAAAATGGTTTGGGCTACTAGCCATTGGGGGTGGGGCTGGGGACAACCCAAACGGCTATATAGCCGTTGGGTGGGGTAAAGGGGGGGTCCGGGGGGGTTGGCTGGTGGGGGGGTGGGGGGGTGGGGGGTAAAAAAACCTATAAATACTCCTAATCTTAAACATTTTTTCATATCTCTTCTCCAATTCTTCCTAAATCCTATTCTTAACTCTCTACTCTCTAATTCTCTTATTCTCCATTCTCCAATATATTATATTTATTATTTATAGTTTATATTAATTATCTACTTATATAAACTATAAATAGATATAAATAGTATTATATTACTTATATTTGTTATCTAATTATATATTACTTATATATTTATTATATCTATTAATATAGTTGGAATTATATCTAATTAATTTGAAGTCATTCTATTACTCCCATCCGAAAGACCGAAAGTCCGAAAGAGGTACGAAATTATTCTATTATTTACACTTGTTTAATTACTAGTTAATTTGCTACTTAATTTGCTATAACTCGAATTAATAGTTAGATAAATAGTTAATTAGTTTTTTACAATTTTTTATTAATTGCTACATTTGTCTCTAGTTTAAAAAATATGTTGTACACAAAACTAGTTAATTCACTACTTAATTTGCTATAACTCGAATTAATAGTTAGATAAATAGTTAATTAGTTTTTTACAATTCTTTATTAACTGCTACATTTGACTCTAGTTTAAAAAATATGTTGTACACAAAACTAGCAAATTCACTACTTAATTTGCTATAACTCGAATTAATAGTTAGATAAATAGTTAATTAGTTTTTTACAATTTTTTATTAATTGCTACATTTGACTCTAGTTTAAAAAATATGTTGTACACAAAACTAGTCAATTCACTACTTAATTTGCTATAACTCGAATTAATAGTTAGATAAATAGTTAATTAGTTTTTTACAATTTTTTATTAATTGCTACATTTGACTCTAGTTTAAAAAATATGTTGTACACAAAACTAGTTAATTCACTACTTAATTTGCTATAACTCGAATTAATAGTTAGATAAATAGTTAATTAGTTTTTTACAATTTTTTATTAATTGCTACATTTGACTCTAGTTTAAAAAATATGTTGTACACAAAACTAGTTAATTCACTACTTAATTTGCTATAACTCGAATTAATAGTTAGATAAATAGTTAATTAGTTTTTTACAATTTTTTATTAATGGCTACATTTGACTCTAGTTTAAAAAATATGTTGTACACAAAACTAGTTAATTCACTACTTAATTTGCTATAACTCGAATTAATAGTAAGATAAATAGTTAATTAGTTTTTTACAATTTTTTATTAATCGCTACATTTTTTAGATAGATCGTCCTAGATATTCGGTTGATATGGGTAACCTCGAGTGCAACCGAACGAAAGAGTTTGCGAGGAAGAGATCCCGCAAAGGTAAATCACATATCGGCTCTTCATCTCAAAGTCAAGATGATTTTGATACGGGTTACGTAAGGAGGGATGGGGATGCGATGACCGACGAACAACTAGAACAAGAATTGCACCGACATAATTCCCGCTTTTTTCAAGACCAACCGAGGACCATTGACGAAGAAGAGCTCGAGGACGAGGACGGCGATGTGGAGGAAGCAATTCCGGAGAGCCACGACGAGGAGGAGGAGGGTGGCGGCAGCCATGACACCGACCAAGCAGCTTCATCCCAAACATGTACAAAAAAAGTAAATCTGAATTCATGGCTAATAATTTTTCTAAGTGGAAGGACCCGAACACCGTGAAGCTGTTAATCTCGCCGGTGCTTTTTCAAATTTTGAGAATGCTGATTATGTGAGTTATTTTGATGGTTTTATGAAGGAAAAGTTTTTAAAATATTATTCACATATTCCGCATATTTATGGTATTGCATTTGTTCTCGATCCTCGTTTTAGACTTGGTTCTTTAGAAGAATGTTTGAATTATTATTATGCTGCTTTTTTGGTCCATTGCCAATGTATGAGGACAACCCAATTTATCCGAAAAAAGAATACAACGAGGTTAGTGATATATTTTATGCATTATTCAATGAGTTTCATGCACAATATGGCAATGCGCCCCCTCCCCCGACACAAACATCATCTAAAGGAAAATCAATTTTCAAATCTACGTTTGCCAATCTTATTAAAAAAAACAAAATCAACTCCCGCTACACAACAAAGCACAATTAATGAGATTTCTTTGTATTTAACTTATGATGTTGATTTTGAAGAAGATGATGATTTTGACGTACTAAACTGGTGGAAGGGAAAAGAAAGAATGTTCCCGGTTTTGGCAAAGATGGCTAAGCAAGTGCTATCAATGCCGGTTTCAACGGTTGCCGTGGAACAAGAATTTAGTTCGGCCGGCAATGTTCTAACACAAACCAGAACGAGGTTGAGCACTGAATCTCTTGAGATGCGTATATGCTACCACGATTGGTTGAAAGCAGCACGTAGAGCCCAAGAAATTGACATCACTCCATCCCAACACTTTATGGATGAATCTACAACAGAGGGTGGCTCTACCTATGCCGGAGATTCCGATTAAAAACGATTATAGTTCCTATTTAATTTTCAAATGTAGTTCCTATTTCATTTGAAATAAATGCACTTGAAGTTTGTTTTTTAATACTTGTATAAAACTATAAAGTATAAAATATAAATTAAAAAAAAAAATTAACCGGCCCGGCCCGGCCCGGCCCGGCCCGACGGGTGACCCGACCCGTGACCCGGGCGGGTGGCCCGGCCCGAACCGGACCCGTCCAACCCTCGGGCCGGTCCCGGACCCACTATTCTTGAACCGGTGGCCCGACCCGGCCCGAATCCATCCCTAGAGATGGACCCGGCCCGGGCCCGACCCGGCCCGAATCCTCGGACCCGTCCCGGGCCCAGAGGACTAGAGGAGGAAGTAAATCGAGAGAAATAGATGATAATGTCTCAACTTGAGACATTATCATCTATTTCTCTCGATTTACTTCCTCCTCTAGTCCTCTGGGCTCTGGCTAGCCCTTTGGTGTGGGCAGGTGGGTTTGCAGTGAATGATATGTGTGATATGAAACTGATCTGAAGAACATGAGATACACACACAACTTCATTTGGCATATACGATGTGAGATTCTGAGTGTTGATTCAGGGATCGGGACCAATGGACCATCAATCACCATGTCCAATACCACAAAGAATTGTAAAGAATGAATTTAACATTGTAGAATAACACACACCCCTAAGACATTTCTTTGCGCAAACTTGAAGAGCGGATTACAGGCAATACACTAATAAGTTAATAATAACTTGGAAGTTGCAACACATACAAATGATTAATCATGAGAAGAACCCCCTTTCAAGTACACTTCCGATATCCCACAATGTTCTTCAAGGGTTTCAGATTCTGATACTCTCACTGATGGGCATTCTTCAACATGATAATCATCACCCTCTTCAATTTCCAAACTATGCTCATGGCCACCATGACTAAGCAGTGACAGATCAAAAAGTGTTGCTGCTCCATGAGGATGGGTTCTCATCTGCACAGACCTCAAAAGCGCTGCTCGCCTGAGGTCTGCTGAGTGGCATATGTCACTCGGCGATGACGGAAACCGGCCCTCAGAGTCTGAGCCCCGTTGACGTGCACTCGAGGATGCAACGGGAGGTAGGTTGCATCCAGGTGGTGGGTTTAAAGTGGATTGAGAGAATGGTGAGAGCCCACTAAAAGACCTCTGGTGGTTCCTATAAGGAGACACGGGACTGGTTGGAGTGATCTCAGGCTGAGATGAACAACAAATGTGCATAGAAACTTCATAGCTTGGCAATTCATCTGAATCTTCTGACATTGGTGAATACTGTATAGATGCATCATCTCTGAAACCCAAGGATAAATGAAAAGAAATAGTTAGCCTAACACAAAAAGGTGTATTTCGCACATTTGGGAGAAAAATTTATGGTAAACCCGTTTTAGCTTACGAATCTTATAATCCAGATTTTATGCTTTTTGCTGAAATAGCTGAAAATTAAATTTGTAACTTCATTTTAGTTATTATTTTCTTTAATTTACTGATGAAACATAGTTTACACAATTTTTTATTTAATCCAGCAGATTTGGTTATTTAAGACATTTCAACCACAAATTTAGCAGATCAGCTATAATATACATTACCAAACAGGATCTCTATGTATGTCATTTTTTACTAAGTAATTTGTCTGAAACAGATGTCACTTGTTAACCATCCTTTTCCTTTCAGAAAATGCAATCATATAATCCAATAACATTGATCAAACAGAACATTTATCAATAAGTCATCTAAACAACTATAAAGATATAGACTGGACGTCAAACTCAGTTGTCACTACAAATCAAGAATGGAAAATTCATAACTATAAATCAAACCACAGTGATTACTGATTAGAGAGTAGAGACTACTGCATTCCTGAGCTTATCAAATTGCAGGTTAAAAAAACACGCCCCAGTTTAAAACACGGCATCGTCGAAGATTTTGAATACAACAACATACAAACCTTAATCCCAAAAGAATTTGGGGTCGGCTAAGTCGAAGATTTTGAATATGCGCCAATAAATTACTCCTTTGTTATTATGCATGTCAAATTGTACAGGACTACAGGCAGCAGAAAATACATTTACCTAATACAGCACATGCTTCCAGACCTTGGAGAATACACAAGGCTATCATCAGTCAGGTTATCTCCAACAGTTAGTCCATTTAAACTTGATGCCATTATCTGCAAAAGGGGGAAATGAGTAAGCTCCATTTTTCCTTCCTATACTATGATCTGTATTTTACTGGCAATAAACGGTAAAGCTCTGAAATCGAACTAAATTTTTTGTAGCAGACTAGCCTTGAGCTATAAAAAGTTATGCGCTTACAATTACCGCATAAAAATAAAATAATCAACCAAAATCAGAAACTTTACATGAAAAACGGAAATAGGTTAGAACTTAGAACGACAGGTAGTGCGAGAGAGAAGAAAGAGGACCTACCTCACTTAGATAGCGTTTATGTGAATGGAGATTGTCGACATATACCTCATCTTCAGGGTCTCTACTTCTCTTGGCATTGGGTGATGAGGATGCCGTCGCTGCCGGCGATGAAGATGGCGCCGGCGGTACGTTAGGTTCCGTCCCCATCGCGCTTCAGTGGAAATGCATCTCTCCGTCAATTCATTATTCCAGTTCTACAATACTGTGATCGAAGCCAGCTGCAAATTGATGAAAGTTAACAGTGTCTTCATAAATCAAATCTGCAAAGGAAAGGCTGGAGCCTGGATGCATCGAATCAACTTGGAAAACGAGGAATAACCATAATTAACTCCCAGTCTTGAGATGCAAATTGAGAGAAATGTAGAATGCGCCGCAGCGGAAAACCCTAGCTACGTGGGGACTTCGACGGCCCTCCGGAGCGGAAATCTGAACGGCTTCGCAAGGTTGTTTCAAGTTGTTAAAGGCGACGGCGCTATTAGGGGGTCCTGGAGTTTCAATTCCGCGGGTTTCAGGTTGTGATTTTATTTTCTTTCGTGCTTCGAGGTTTTGTTGTCTTCTCCGGGCGTTTTGGTTCCGTGTTTTTGTTTCCGGCTAAATTTGGCCGAGGCTGATTTGTTGTGGTTGCCCTGGTTGAACACTCGACTGGTGCTTGTTTCTTGTTGTGTGGAGAGCAGTGTTTTCAATTGAATTCTAGCTACATATTTTCGGTATTTTAGTTGCTTTGTGTTTTTTGAGATTTGATTGAGCTGTGATGGAGATAATAATTTAGAGGAATGTTAGTATGCTTTCAATTGCAGAAGAAGAAAATAGGAGGCTGGTGCTAGCAGCTGACCCGGCGGAGGATGGGGATGGGATTACAAAGGATTCAATCTAGGATTCTAGGGGCTGCGGCTAGAGTGGTGTCCAACAAACCTGTTTGGGCCGTTTCCTTTTGCCAAACAACGACTATGGCTTGGCGTCCAGTCAAGGGAGTTTCTATCGATGAAATTGAAGATTCTAAATTCATGTTACAATTTTATCATGAAGGAGATCTGAACAGAGTTGTTGATGAAGAGCCTTGGTCCTTTGAGAAGAATCGGGTGGTTATCAAATGTTTGGGGCGAACCGATAAACCTCTAGAAGTTCCATTGGATTATGCTGATTTATGGGTTCAGGTTCACAACTTACCCTTAAGTTATATGACGGCAAGGGCAGCTCGTGGAATAGTTAGTAGTATCGGATCGCTTGTGCAGATAGATGAGAACTCTCTTGGTGGTAAGCAAAGGTTGGTCCTGCGCATTAGGGTCACGCTTAACATTACTACGGTTTTGACTAGACGCTTACAGGTTAGACAGGAGGGAGATAGTTGGATCTGGGCAAATTTTCGATATGAGAGACTCCCGAATTTCTGTTTTCTATGTGAGGTTCTTGGTCATGCTGACCGTTTTTGCCCTTCCAATCCACATGGTGGTATAGGAATCGGGGAGAAACCTTATGGGTCATGGTTACGGGCTGATATGAGGCAAGGAGCAACGCACCCGGGTAACAGGTGGCTTATTCCTGATGACAGATGAGATGAGAAAGCTGAGTCTGATAAAGTGACAAAGGAACATGAAAGCTATATGGTGGAAGGGCTTCTGTCAAAGGGGAAGGAGATTGCTACAACCCTGGATGCACCAAGAAAGCGTAGGGTCACTGAGAAAGATATCACGACGGGGGCACAGGCTAGTATGGATGTGGATGAAGAAAATCCAAAAAACTTGGAAGTGGCGGTGCTGTCCGAGCAGCATCGCCAGTAGCAGGAGAATGCAAGGACAGGAATGACGTACCCTTAGCGGAGGCTGGTCAAACCGCTATTTACTTGCCAGTGGCTGGAGAAACTGGATTATGTTCCTCTTTTGATTTTTCATTTTTTCAAAACTCTGTTATGTTTTTGAATTTCCCTTTTAGTAGCAGGTGCAGCAGTGCGCGCTGTGTATGGAGTCTACCAAATTGCGGGGTTAGCGAGATGGACCGCTAGTAAGCGCGATACCGGCTCTGAGTCTCACCCCAGTGTAGCTTTTGTGATGGCAACCTTGTATATGGTTCTCGGTTTTAATAATATTTAAGTTATCTTTTGCCAAAAACAAAAAAAAAATCCCTTTCTTGAGAGTCCAGCATGGAAAAGTCTGTATTGTTTTGGGCTGGACCGTTCAAATATCTTAATTTGATTACTTCTCAAGTAAAGGAACAGGTCTTTAGGTGTAAATTGTAGGAGTAATTGTGTATGTGAGTTAAATACACCAAATCCTCTTGTATAAATAAATAAATTCTACGCATTAGTTTATTATAAATAACGTCAAAATGTGTTATAAGTTATTGTACAAAACCCTTTCCAAGAAGAAAAATTAATGATCGAATAAAAGAAAAATAATTAGCAATTTTGTGCGAAGTACATATTAGAGGTCTTGACAAATTTACTTTGACATGGAATCATGACATTGAGACATGTGATTTTTAAATTGTTATATTTTGTTCCAAGAGAGGTTTTTGAGCATGATTAATCATAATTAACATAGTGGGTCAGAAACATTTTTTAAATCAAATGGGCTAAATGCCCAAAATTTATATAACACGAGGGGGATTATGCATTTAACCTAGGTGTAGATCAACCAATCCCCAGTTCACCTTTAAATAGAAAGCATAGACCGAACTGTTGCTTTTTAACCGAAGTTACAATCAGAACTAAAGGTTCACTAGTCCGGTTCGATTCTCCCAAAATTTCAAACTGAAATCGTCGTTTCTAGTCTGAAATAAGACGGTTTAGGTTCAAATCATTTTTAATAATAAAATACATAAATAAATAAAAAATATTAATAGTAGTGCGGTCGTTTCCCTAGCATTCTAGGGTTTATCTTTTCTGGCGGTGAGCTTTTTCACTATGTCCAGCAGTTTTGGTCTAACCTCTGTGGTAGTGCTCAAAGGTTGTTTAGGTAGGATTTTGGAGTTTGGAATATTAGTGAGATCCATGTAAGTGTTTTTATGGTTCTTGGTGCAAGTGTAGTTCAAGGCTGGATGTGCGGACTCAAGGAGAACGTGATGCACAAGAAGAAAGGTGAGGAAGAAGATGCAGTATTGGTAGTTCGTCCCCCTCCGGAATCACGCCATAGAAATATGATCAGGTTGTTAGAGTTTGGAAAAGGACGTTTCAAGTTTAGATCTGACCGCATGCGGATTATTGCTCTACTTTTATTTGCAGTTTTACTTATTTCATTTTAGACTTTTTACTACGTCGTATATTTTTGACTTGCTTGTGTTAGAGGTATGTTGGGGACTTGGGGGTGCTTATGGCCTCTATTTGCCTCGAATCTTCCGTATGTTTAGCGAAAAATTTTGCTCTGTTTGGGGAGAATCTTTTAATGTCTGTTTGGGGATTGAGGGAACTCTTTTGCTATTTGAAGTGGTAAAGATCAATCTCAAGAGTCAGAAAGAACTCTATGTTGCTCTTTTCGTGGTCATTTATTTGTGTTGCTTCTTTGGAGGTTGGTCACCTCAAAGTCTGATCGTAGAGCTTTTCTTGAATCTAGATGAAGTCTGTTAGAAAATAGTTGCGGGATCTTGAGTTTTTGACTGATTGTAACTCCAAATTATTGGTTATATTAATGTACTTTGATGTTTTCTTTCAAAAACATAATAAAAATATTACTAATAGTAGTAATGGTGATGGTGATTGTTGTTGCATGTACTAACAATAAAATATAACCAACTTATACTCATTATTCATTATTACTTTTAATCATCACAGCTATAATTACAAATTATAATTATAATTACAATTATAATTACTCCGTATATACTATGTAGTACTACTACCTCCGCCCTCCCAAGATCGGGACAAAGAAGAGTAGTGCGGTTTAAAAAATGGAATTGTGTGTTTTATATTGAATTGATATGATGTAAATAAAGTAAGAATGAATTATAATCACCCAAATATATAATAGCAAATATGATATGTGAGAAACTTAATAAAACAGGTGAAAAATGTAAAATGGAGCAAGTTTAGAAGGACATGGGGATTATATATGTTTTGGGAACTCATTTTTATAATAATCTATGACTTAATGCTTACTTTATTTTTAAAAAAGAATCTTTTAATTTATAGAAAATTAAAGAAGTTGACCGGTATTAAAGAATTTACATCAAATGACATTGAAATTATATTGGGAAATTACAAAAAATAACAACTGTAATGAAAGGTGAGGAGAAATTTACGAAGTTGACCGGTTCAAAAGAGTGTCTTCTTCCCTCTACGCTGATTGTTCTTTTTTATTATGGTCACAGTTCATATAAATAGTGCGATAAGTGAGGGCTGCCATTTCCCCCACGGAGCTTTTCCCTCTTCAAATCGCCCTGCTTTTTGCAGGGCAGCATATTATCCAACCCCAAATCCAATTCCCACCGTTCGATCTATCGATCTCAACGATGAAGGAGGAAGAGATTCCCCCGTCAACCACCCCCATCGACGACGTTGATTCCGCAAACGACACCGTTTGCTTTGAACTCGTCCCCCCGCCCACTCCCCCCATCGTTGACATCCCAAACGACGCCGCCTGCTTCGAACCCGCCGCCCCGCCCTCCCCAATCGGCGGCGGGTTTAAAAAGAAAAAGCGCAGTAAATCGTTCAGCCTCCTCAAGGCGGCGCTCAACATCTTCCAGGAGAAGCCGCCGTCCCCGGCGAACGAGAAGAGCAAGTCTCTGTCCAAAAAGAAGAGCGGCGACTGGAAGGCGGTGGTGGGGTCAATGCGGCCGTTGACCCTGCAGGACAAATCCCCGACGCCGTCCATGTCGCCGTCGTGTTCGTACGAGAATCTGTCCATTATGAGCTCTCCATCGCCGTCGCCGTCGCACGTGTCATGCGCGAGCGGCACAATGAGCCGGTACGCCTCCGCGGGCAATCTACAGGAGCTGGACCCCTGCTCCGATCCCGACGAGGTGTTCGACGATTTCGCCGGCGACGAGATGATAGACGTCAAGGCGGAGGAATTCATCCAACGATTCTACCAACAAATGAAGCTCCAACAACGTCAACATCATCATCATCACCGCTACCACCATCCTCATATGTAAACAAAAAAGCACTGATTCATCATCGTAAATGTTAATTAATTATAATTACTACACTAAGTAATTTAATTAATTAATTAACTTATAACTTATCAGCTCATTAGGCCAGTCTCCAATTAACCAGCGGCATATACAGCTGCATTGGACATTCGCCCGTGTTATTTCCTCCCGAAAAGGTTCGTCAAATTTATAAGGAAAAATCAAAACGACGAACCTTTTCGGAACTGATATGATTTATCATCTGAATGTTCGGTATTTCATACTCCATATGTGTATATATATATATATATATATATATATATATATATATATATATATATATATATGAAGTATATGATATCGACCTACGGAGTATATAATTAGTTTAACATTTGGTAAGTTTTGTTTTGTGGATAAGTTGCATCAGTACGTGTAGCATGTAAAGATTTGTAATCAAAGACTGTTTTGAACATTTCATTCATCTTCCTGTATCTATTTCGGCTGCGTACAGAACTAAAAAGTACTCATATGATCGATATATACTCCCTCCGTCCAGTTGGAATGTTTCTGTTTTCTTTTCTTGGATGTCCCGTTGGAAAGTTCCCATTTCTCTAAATAGAAAGTTATCCTACATCAAAACTGGGTCAAACAGTGTCAAACAGTGTCGAAACAGTGTCAAACAGTGTCGAAACAGTGTTAAAAAAGTAAAATTTACCCCCTGGTAAGTTTATTTCTTTAATATTTGTGTAGGTGAAACCGGGAACATTCCAAGAGGGAGTATTAAACAAAACTCTACATTTTTATAACCGTTGTAATTAACATTGATAATGTTGGGGCAAATATTTAAGTAATTATTTTTACGATTATGGAAGTAAATTCTATATTTGTGTATTAATTAGCTCCCTTGTATAGTTTGTACCTTTATGATCAAATCGGGAAGGGAATAAGGTCGATTGGTTGAGTTGTCTCTAGTTTTAAGAGCGAATTTCGAAACCGTGAATAAACTGATGAAACGTCCAAAAGGAAGAACAACATAATAATGCCTAATGAGTAGGGGAAGGGGTTAAGACATGAAGTTGTGAGATTTAACACGTTATGTCTTAATATAGTACTTCGTTGATTCAAATATTTTCGGTGTGGGATTTAACACCTCTCCTCACGACCAGACTCTTAGTCTGGATCGTGCCGTCATTCATTTTTGTTTCGTCAATTCATCATTGTCATTTTTTTTTATAATCATGTCAATCATTTTTTCATAATGGGGCCCACACAATGGATCGATTTAGTTCTGATACCTTGTTAAGACATGAGATTTCATCCTAAAATGTCAACCTGATATGAGGAGTAACCCATATCTTAATATAGCACTTCGTTGATTCAAACATTTTCGGTGTGGAATTTAACGGAAGGTCTGGAGGATGAAGATAGACTGAATTGTCCATCCGTTTCTGGATTTTGCGTAGGAATTTCTGGATCCATTGAAATAGTGACTAAAAGCACGAATAACTTGAGCCATGTTATACAAACAAGTCTCATAACATTTAAAGTGTCCAAACTTGGTTCGTAGATTATGAGGATCGAAGGCTTCTGCCGGATCCTTGATAACATGCATTTAAAGAAGCTCATAACAATTACGATCCGTCATGCATGCTCAATTTGAAAATCCAATAAATTTATGAACAAGCTTAGTTTAATCTTTGAATTTGTTTTGCGAGTTCATACTTTACATGAATGGGAAAATTCTCGAAACAGGAATAGAAAAGTTTCAAAATTTCAGAATAGGATTGTCATGTTTTTATTTCTTAACTACTGTCAAGTTTGGAAATTTTTTGTCAAGTTTGAAAAATACTATCATGTTTAAAGCCTGATACAGTTAAAACATGACAGTATTTGGTCATATTTTGGGAATAAAAATATGATAGTCCTACTTTGAAATATATAAACGTTTTTAATCCTATTTAGAGTAATTTCTCTGCATAAAATTGTTTAAACTGTTTAAACAAATAATATTAAGGCAAGCCAATCAACTCAACAGCGGGCATATCTAAAGTGCGGCAACTCAACACACACACATATATTATCACATTTTTATCTACAATTATAGCTTTTCATACGCATCATATAATTTGATCCTTTTATACATATTTGGGCATTTCCAAATCAAGTAACTATAATTATACAAGATTCATAATGTAGTCAACTATTTGTAAAATGTTTGACTAAATTTGGGTGTAAGCTAATCCCCTAAAAAATTCTAGACACGTCACAATGCATCCCAACGCTTAAACATTTTAATAATACAAGGCTCTTCATTCGGTAATACCGAAACGAATCGAAATTTCGATTTTACTGAAATTGCAGTTATGCATATTCACATATCGAATATCGAACCAAATCAAATCGATTTGGTTCAATACAAACCGAAAAAAATTCGGTTCGGTAATTGGTAAAATTGAATTACCAAATAGGCATTCAACAATATTTATGTAATTATTTATAAATAAATATTTAAATATATTACATACGGAGTATAATACTCCATATATAAATACTACTTATATTATAGAGAAAATTACCTATATAGGAGCAAACACTTACCTATTTGCTTAAATAGGAGTACTTCCGTAGACTATGTTTAATAGGAGTGTTTTATGGTTGACTTGACAAAAATGCCCTCCGCCAAATACATCGCCTCATTCCACACGCACGCACAACATTTCTCGAAAAGGTATCACAAGCTAACCGCCAATTAATTTCTACAGGCTCGGACGCCGGATTTGGATATTCAAAGCAACATCGAAAAATAAAAAAAAATGAAGCAGAGAGTGAGCTACGAACTGTAGAAGAGCGAAGAAGGAAGAAAGTAGAAGACCGAAGAAGGAAGAAACTGGAAGAGCGACGGAGGAATAAGTAGCAGCGAAGATGGAAGATGTCTTCGAGACTCCAAAAGCTAATCCGTTAACAATACGCATCAATGACGAAATGGTAATTTGCTTTTACGATTTTGCTTTTGCCAAACGAATGGAATGAGTAACAGTATATGTCATATTTGAATGAGTAACAGCATATGCCATATTTTGGAATTGCATGTGAGAAAAATCAAGAAGAAACTTGGATAAAAATTCATGTTGTGTGTTAGAACTCGCCAATACCAACATTGTGTAAATGACGAACACTAATGTACATGTACGAACACTTGGATAAGAAAAGTATGGATTAATGAGTTACATTTCTGCCAAGTGATTCACAAATAGTACATATCATAGATTGTGTGAATTTTGGAATCAAATCTGTCTTGGAAAAAAGTTGTCTGCGTGTTCATGTATATTGAAATAAATGGGATGAAGTTGAGTCATTATGTGGAAGATTTGTGAATGAATTTTAAGATAATAATGTTATGGTGTAGAGAATCATGTATTGTGAAAGTGGTTGAAATAATAGTCAGTAAGCTGTTGAGATCTTTTAAAATATATGATGGATATTGTGAATTGGTGTAATAGGTCATTGTAAGTGGTTCATAAACCTTTACTTCTGCCAAAGAAATGGAAATATGTGAGTAACAGGGTATGTAATAAAATGGTAAAAGTTCTCCATGAAATAATGTGTGCAAATTAATGTTGTGTAAATGACGAACACTAGATGTCATAGGAGGAATGACATAGCAGAGAATGTGATAAAGGCCGAAAATTATTCCAAATGTATGGACTACAATGTAGAAAAGAATGGAATAATGAGTTACATTTCTGTGTGAATTTTGGAATCAAATTGGTTGTGGAAGAATGTTGTCTACGTGTTAATGTAAAATGAATTAAATGGGTTGAGATAATAGTCAGTAACTGGTTAACATCTTTTGGAATATATGATGCATATTGTCAATTGGTTTAATAGGTCATTAAAAGAGCATTTAGGACGAAGGCACTCAAAAACTTGGATTGCATGAGGATTAACTGCTATTGTAATTTAAGCAAGGTCATGGAGAGGATAAAGAACAAATTGAAGGAGGAGGAATTGCAGGCTTGGATTGTTATGCAACTATGTGAAAAGAGTGAACAAACTGAAGGAGAACGATGTCATTCGATTTCATATTCAAAACAGCGTCATAAGCCTTTGTAAGAAAGACCTATGTTTGTTGTTAGGGTTGAAAATTGGTGGAGAAAAGCCTCAGGTACAGGAGCAGCTAAGCGGCCATATTTGGAAGAAATATTTTGGAAGTGCAGAAAGTGTAAGAAGAACTGATGTAATTGATGCTTTGCAGAAGTATGACAATAACAACCCGGAAACGGAGAAAGAAGATGGTGTTAAACTTGCACTTCTGCAAGTACTATCACATGGACTATTTGGAAATCAGGTGGCACGGGATTTACCAGCAGCATATGTGAACTTGGTGGAAGATTTGGCTGCATTTAATGATTACCCATGGGGTGACGACGTGTGTAACGATTTAGTAGAAAATATGAGAACAAATGTGAAAAGTTTGAAAAAGTGCAAAGGAAAACGAGCGACGCTCCCAGGATGTTTAATTACTCTTCAGATGTGGGTATTTGAAACTTTCCCTGGTCTACAAAAAGCTGGAATTTGCAATATCAAGGATGGTAAAGAAAGAGGAATTCCAAGGGCTGTGAAGTGGTCATTTACCAAAAAACCTTCAATGGTTGTATTCGGTGAGATTATTTTCTGCAATGAGAATGTAAGTTGTTTCATATTTGTATTATAAATATGGTATGCGAATATAAATATATAACTTCTTATTATGCCATGTGTTGTTGCAGTTTGAATTTGATATGCCATGTTTTATTGCAGTTTGAATGGTCAAAGATGGTAGCTACTGAAGAGGAAATTAACAAATTTCCAATGTTAGTAAAAAAAAGAAGGTTAAGATTGCGGAAAGGACAAAGCAGTACCAGTAAAGAAGATAGGGTGGATGGAGAGAGGGTGATTGGCAGTGCGGGGGAAAAGAACGAAGAACAAGATGAGATGGATGACGATGATGATGACATAGGGATGGTTGGATTTGGAGAGCAGCGGAAGATTGACGTAATCTTGAGACAGGTAAGGAAAATCAGCAAGGAAAATGCCAAGGTAATGGAAGTAAATGCCAGGTTGGTGGCAGAACTGAAAAAAATGAAAAAGGAACAGAAGAGCCAACACGCAAAACTAGGAAAAATCCTGTCACACCTGAAGAAGTTGACACAACATGAGGAGACTAAAGCTGAATCTATAGAGCACGAAGTGGAGAAGAAACAAGAGAAGAGTTCAAAAGGAGGAAGTGTGGATACTGGA